AGGACCCATATTGTAAATTGCATGTGACTGCAACACAAAGCCAGCACTCAGCACTGTGTGAGAGTGTGTATTTGTGCTCTATTAGTGGTATGAAGGCAGAACTCGTCGGGAAGCCTGAGGCTGGTGATGCCATCACATGTGATGCTGCCGATTTTATTTTTATGAACGAATTTCATTTTCACCATATCTCAATTGATATATTGTGTTTGATAGCATTCTGTGGTGGAAATGACATTGCAAATATATTGATTTATTTTCACACATTACATGTCTTAAATTTTATGTCTCCATGGTAACCAAGTATACTAACTTTCGAAGAAATTTTGTTATTGGAACAGATGGAGTCACCACAGGGGTGGGAGGGTGATGGAGAGAACATGAAAGAGTGCAGGGGGTGAGTAAAATGGGAGGAATTAAGAGAGAGAGAGAGAGCACAAGGGAGAGATGGAGCGGGACGAGGGGGTGACAAAGCCAAAAATAGAGGGGTGAAAAAACTATTACAAACTGAAAACACAGTAAGAAGTATCAATCTGTGTGTCTGTTAGTATATTTCTACATGTGCGCGAATGGGAGGAAGCGAGTGTGACCAGTGAGATTCAGAGTATAAATGAAAAATATGGTTTTATTATGTGTATATTTGTATGTAAATAATTTGCTAGGCTTGTATTGTGTTGTCATGCAGGCAGCTGGGATGAGATGAGCGTGAGCTCGCTCTGTGACTGGGACAGAATAACATCACATGAGGCAGCTTTATGTTTACTGTGAGGTGCTAATGAAAAGAGCACAGCAGTGTTAATTTACCAGCACACAACTCACAGACAGTTAGACAGACTGAGAGAGAGAGAGTGAGATTACAACATGGCCACCAAATACAGATATTACAGTCTTGCGCAAAGTATTTCATTTCATGTGTCAGTTAAATTCAAAGGGGCTGGAACAATATTCCCACCCTGTTCGCCAAGGCCAAGTGAGTAGGCTACACCATAGAAGACCTCAGTAGCTCCCCTCATTTCCCCAAGCCCCTGACAACGGCCCTGGGTGGCACATGACACATTTTATGTGAACCATCCTACGAAAGTAGATTACTGTTGACTTAGGGGCAGTCCACACAAGTGTGAATGTGAGACGCAGAGCAGTGGAATAAAAATAATGTTGTAGAGACACGGTTTTTAAAAGCTGAACTTCTTTTAACTTGGCCATAAGCACCATGGTCAAACATGTTCATAGTGCATGTTCACAGAGAAAAACATTCCAATATTAAAAAGCAGCATATTGGAATGCAAACGTATTTTAAACTAATGGCACCTTACCCTATATAAAAATTAATTAATAATTTAAAAAAAATACTTAAGCAAATAAAATAAAAATCCTCTTCTTTACAATCATTTAACAAAGTTTCCAGTCTTAGAATTAATCGTACATATATTTAGAAACATATTAAGTGTTTATTGCTGAAACAATTTTAAAAAATACTTAAAGACTTAGAAATAAAAAGTATAAAACTCCATTATGAAGCAAATCTTAATGAAATAAAAAATAAAATAAACTTTCTGTTAAGGAACTTAAAAAAAATAAAAATAAATTCCATTCAAGTGAAAAGCCACCAAAACTGTTAACACAAAATATCTTCTTTCTATTTTGTTTTCAGAAGAATGAAAGTCATACAGTTTATAACAAAATAAGCCGGGTGAGTTTCTGGTTGAATTGTCCCTTTAAGTGAATTACTGTACAATACAAGAACAGTTCCCTGAAGCAACCTGGTTGGTCTGGGCGGTATATCGAGTTTGTACGATATAATTATTGATATTTTTTTACAAACGATACAGGCAATACCGTTTACAGATACGAGCACATCTGAAAAATAGCCGAGGACACAGAGTGAGCTGCTGCGGGGAAAGTGCATAATCCAGTTCGTCCTAAACGTCAGACAGCACTCGTAAAATATAGTTAACACCATAGGCGGAGGGTGAACCAACTCCAGGGTAAGGCTAAAAGCAGCCAAATGTATTAAACATCATAAACCCGCCTTTTTAGGCAAGAACCAGACATGGGTGTCATGTAGGCTAAAAAAAAAAATGCTTAATGGGACTGAATTTGTATTTAACGTGATTACAATTTAATAAAAACGTTAGAAATTGATAATTATATAGCGTTTCCTTTCCACTGTTATTCAAACAGCGAATAAATTATATAGCCTATAGAAAGTGACATTATCACTAACATTGATCTATCGCGAGTTTAAGCACTCTCAAAAAAAAAAAAACTATCGTTATAATCACTGAAGCTGTAAACACTGTTAAATGAATCTCTTACTTACATTGTACGAACATCTGCGCTTTGTTGTTTATGATGAGAGAATTCACAAGAGTCCAGAATTCAGTCAGCGAACGCGCGCGCACTCAACAAAACTGATGAGTTTGAACGATGACTCATCTGAATGCTTCTGATTGGCCATTGCATTCCTAAGCTCAACAGATATGTGTGAGTAGTATGTAAACGGGAGCTTATGTCAACATGATTGATGAGTTTGACCTTTTGACCCATAATTATATCCATATGCGACCTTTGACATCATAATAATTTCCATATGCGAAAACCGGCGTGCGTGAAATCCGGCCGTCAACTTACATTTCACAGGTATATTCTCCATCTGTACATGTTAGAAAGTCGTGGTAATATTTCCATTGTGCCGTCCATCAGAAATGCATGAGCATTCTGCATGCAATTCTCCGTTAAACATGGAGGACTTCAGTGAATGAGCGCCGCCGCGCGCATGCGCGCCAAACAGACAGCGCAATAAATAGGAGAGCAATAATTCTGACTAACATATACATTTTTATAAAATATTTGTAGTTGGACAATAAATATGCCAAAAGTAGAATTTTAAACCTAAAGTGTATTTTATGACACCAGTAACTGTAAAGTGACTAATGGGGTAATCAAAATATAATGCAATTAATCTGTGCTTTTTTTATTTCTTTTCAGTTTTAGTTTAGTGAATTTAACTTTTGCTTTAAAAAGTATTATTTTGTTTTTAGATTGTAATACTACAATATTATAATGTAATATATGTATATTTAATTCAAATAGAAAAATTAAAAATAGATAATAGTATAAAATATAGAAAATACCAAGATATATACCGTATTGCAAATTGCAAAAAAAATAAAATACAGAGATATGATTTTTTTGGCCATATCACTCAGCCCTACAACCTGGGCATAGGTGTCTTGCTTGGTAATGGTTTACTACTTGTGGAAATCAAGTCTACAACCTTCTGGTTACCACACTGAGCTTTAAAGTGATAGTTCACCCAAAAACGAAAATTATGGCATTTATTACTCAGCCTCATGTCGTTCCAAACCCGTAAGACCTTTGTTCATCTTCAGAACACAAATTAAGATATTTTTGATGAAATCTAAGAGTTTTCTGAATCTTCACAGCAACTGAAATGTTTTATGGCTCAGAAATGTAGTAAGGACATCATTAAAATAGTCCATGTGACATCAGTGGTTCAACTGTAATGTTATGAAGCTATGAGAATACTTTTTGTGCGCAAAGAAAACAAAAATAACAAGTTTATTCAATGTTTTCTTCTCTTCTGGGTCAGTCTCCTCCGGAATTCAGTAGAGTACCACAACACATGCATGTGATGCTGCTGACGCAGGAGCCAGAGTTCTGATTGTCGAACCCGGATGTGCTGTGGCTTGTTTACAAGCAGAGGAATGCACAGTGTTTAAAGGGATAGTTGGGTGAACTATCCCTTTGAACACTACACTACACTTAGTGTACACTTAGTACACTACTCTTACAGGAAATATAAAAGCTTGAATCGCAATGCCACACTTTAACCACTTAAATGACGATGACTAAATGTAAAGTACTGTAGTTCAATTCAGTGTCACATTCTTCAGCGTCAGTCTCAGCTGTTTAATTCTGAAATTAATTTAACATAACAGACTCGCATCTGACTTCCAAAACCAGCTTCACAGGCCGCAAACATTGAGATGCATGAATCACACGCTGGCATCTCCGTCTACATGCCCGTCAGTCTATCACTCACACTCACAGCAGTGCGAGAAAAGGCGCCAAGGCCTCCTCAGGTGAGTCACTTCCAACGGCAGCATTTCAGAAGAACCAACAGAAAACTCTCCACGTGCTGAACGAAACTCAGTCTAACCCACGAGACACGCGAGTAGATGATAAAGAACGCAAATTCCTTGATGGTTTTTGACAGTTGTGACAAACAAATCTATATGGGAAGAATGCAACTTGAAAAGACCAGCATTTTAGATGCTTCTTTACCTTAACTAGCAAGATGTACTTTGAATCCAATTGTTGTATTGTATGTATGTATTTTTTGTATTTTACGCTTTAGTGAGTCTTTTACACTGGTCCACTACCTAAATCAGCAACAAACCAGCATAAACAAACTCTAAACTGGCCTTCTCAGCAGG